AAAAAAAAAAAAAAATCTTTGCCAGCTACTCTTATGAGGACTAATATCTAGAATATTAGAAGACCTCAAAAAACTTTATGCTAAAAAAGCCCAAACAACCCGATCAATAAATGTGCAAATGAATTGAGTAGACATTTCTCAAAAGAAGAAATTCATATGGTCAACAAGTATATGGAAAAAAATGTTTAACACTTTTAGCAATCAGGAAAAAGCAAATTAAAACTACACTGAAATTTCTCATCACTCCAGTTAGAATAGCAACTGTCAAGAATACAAGTAATCATAAATGCTGGTGAAGCTAATGGGGGAAGGAGACATTCACTGTTGGTAGGATTTTAAATTAGTACAATTAGTATGAAGGTTCTTCAAAGGTCCAGCAATGAAATTGTGTTATGACCCACCTGTGCTACCCATTGTTATTTTTCTCAAAGAATTTAAGTTAGCATACCATAACAACACATGCATACCTAATGTCTATAGCATCATAATTCACAATATCCCAATGTGGAACCAGCCTAGGGGTGTGTCAACAGATGAATGGATAAATAAAATGTATTATATTTAAATGATGGAATTTTATTCAGTTATAAAGAATGAAATTATGTCATTGGCTGGCAAATGGATGGAAGTATATAACATCCTGTTGAATGAAATAAGCCAGACACAGAAAGTATAAGGACATATGCTTTCTCTCACCTGTGGAAGCTAGAAAGGAAAAATGTTTTTAAAAAGGATCTTATGTGCAGACTCAAGGTGACAGATGAGAGGAAGTCTACATTCCTACTTGTTCACACACCAGAGAGTGGAAGAGAAATTTTTCCCAGAAAATGCATAAAAACCCAACACAGGAATACAAGAAATATGAATAACTAAAGTAACATGACACCTCCTAAAATTCATAATTTGCCAGTAATGTCGCTCTAAGATATTGTAGTGGGTGAAATACCAGATAAATTTTCAAAAGAATCATTATAAGAATGATCAATGAGTTCCCAGGATACACAGCAAAAAAAAAAAAACTGAATGAATTAAGGAAGTCAGTACAAGTTATGAATGAGAAGTTCAATAAGAAGATAGAAATATTGAACTCAAAAAACTCAACACCAAAAAAAAAAAAAACTCCAGCAATAAATGGGCTAAGGAGCTGAACAGATGCTTCTCAGAAGAAGATATACATTTGATCAACAAATATATGAAAAAATATTCAACTCTAGTAATTAGAGGATTACACATCAGAACTACTCTAAGATTTCATCTCATGCCAGTCAGAATGGCAGTTATCAAGAATACAGGCAACAATAAATGTTGGTGACGATGTGGGAGAAAAGGCACACTCCTACATTGCTGGTGGAACTGCAAATTGGTGCAACAAATGTGGAAAGCAGATTGGAATGGAACCACCATTTGACCCAGCTATACCAAAAAGACTCAAAATCAGCATACTGTAGTAACGCAGTCACGTCTATGTTCGTAGCATGTCAATTCACAATAGCTAAACTGTGGAAGCAACCTAGATGCCCTTCATAGATAAATGGATAAAGAAACAGTGGTATATATAAACAAGAATGTTGCTCAGAATTAAAAGAGAATAAAATCATGGCATTTGCAGGTGAATGGATGGTGTTGGAGAATGTCATGCTAAGTGAAGAAAGCCAATCCCCAAAAACCAAAGGCCGAATGTGCTCTCTGATAAGTGTATGCTGATCCAAAATGGGGAGAGGGCCAGCATAGGAAAAATGGAGGAACTTTCATTGGGCAAAGGGGAGGGAGAGAAGAGTGGGTGCAGGGGGGCAGGAAAGATGGTGGAATGAGATGGACATCATTACCCTAGGTACATGCAAGACTGCACATACGGTGTGATGCTGCATCGTGTACAACCAGAGAAAAGAAAAGTTGTGCTGCAATTGTGGACAATGAATCAAAATGCATTTTGCTGTCATATACACCTAATTTAAATAAATCAATAAATAAGCAAAAAGGAGCCTGTGTCAAAATCACCAGCTTTATTATTTGAATATATCAATAATATGGATTTTAAGCAACTCTACCAGATCTGGACAGACTTTGATACACTTTTTTTAATGTAGAAACTACTTAAAGATCTGGATTACTGCCACAGCAAGGGAATCGTGCCCAGGGATATGAAACCTCACCATGTTTCAGATCACCTCACAGTGACAAACACCAACTAAAAACAGCTGCCGCTGGTGGACTGGGTCCTGGTGAAGTTCCCTCACCCTGCTCAGGAGTACAATGTACTTCAAGGTACTTCAAGGGACCAGAGCTTCTTGTGGACTGTCAGATACATGATGACAGCTGGGACATGTGGAGTTTGAGCTGTATGTTGGCAAGCGTGGTATTTCAAAAGGAACCCTTCTTCCACAGACAGGGCAGCTGTGGCCAGCTTGTTCGCATCGCCAAGGTTCTGGGTACAGATGAGCTGTGTAGGTATCTGAAGAAGTATCATATAGACTCAGATCCACGTCTCAAAGATATCCTGGGACATCATTCACAGAAACGCTGGGAAAACTTTATGCGTACTGAGAACAGGCACCTTGTTAGCCCTGAAGCCAGAGATCTTTGGGATAAACTCCCACAATATGACCATCAACAGACACTGACTGCCAAAGGAGTCATGAAGCTCCGGTACTTCTACCCGACGGTGAAGGAGCAGTCCCAGCCTTGGGCAGAGAATGCTGTGCTTTCCAGTGGTCTCACGGCAGCCGGAGGAAGACTGGAGAGTGACAGGTAATGCAGCCTTGATGCTTGCCAATAAAACCAGCCACCAAACACAAACCTTAAAGGAAACTACAGTGTTTTGACTGGGCAAAGGAGAGGGAGAGGAGGGTGGGTGCAGGGGGGCAGGAAAGGCGGTGGAATGAGATGGACATCATTACCCTAGGTACATGTAAGACTGCACGTAGGGTGTGATGCTGCATCATGTGCAATCATGTGCTACAACTGTGTACAATGAATCAAAATGCAATTTGCTGTCATATACACCTAATTTAAATAAATAAACATATAAATAAACATTCCTTCTAAAAGCAAAGAGTCAAGACTTAAAAGTCGGTCAAAAAGAAAGACACTCCCTAGTATGAGACTACAGGGAGCCTCCATGGTAGGGTAAGGATGCACACAGGTCAGGATCTGAGGGACTCTCCCTTCAGAATGCATGGGAGATGAGAAACTCAGAGTTGTTATACATTCACCTTCACTTTACAGGACACCACTATTGAATTAACCTGTTGGGTCAAAGAGCTCTGAATATCTGACTTCGTATCTATTCCATTGTGGTCTGGTTTCCTTTCATCGGAATTCAGGCTCAAGTTTTAGAAAAAAAAAAACATTGCAGTCTACACTGAAAAACCACCCTCATTATGAAAAATCGATATTAAAACAATGACAGTATTTTTTAAGCTCTTTTAAAAATTCATGTTTTATGTGTTTTTTTTTTATGACATGAGCTCTCCAGGAAATGTCTCTCATCTTTGCAGTTTTCCTCTAAGTATTCATTTGGAGCAAACTGCAGTCAATTTTATTTATTTTTTATTATTAGTTGTTCAAAACATTACAAAGCTCTTGACATATCATATTTCATACATTTGATTCAAGTGGGTTATGAACTCCCAAGGAAAGAGTATCAACAGGACAGCCACATGCCGTTGTATATATTTTCAGTGTTCCCTAGTTTGGCATTTTATTACTGGTTTGCAGGCAAAGTATTGATAAATGTTTGGACTTTTCTACAATCCGCCTCATGTGAATTCACCTCAAAACAGGAGCAATCTTGCTCTGAACTCAGGATTTTATCAGGTTGCTGCACATACAAAGACGAACCGTTATCCATGAAAAACCAAAAAGCAAGATTAAAAAGGGAATGCCGGATTTGAGCATTGCAGCGGGAAAGGGCACACTAAAATGTATCCACGTGTTTGAAGGTAGCAGAGGTGGAGGTTGATCTCCAATAGGATAGGTAACAATTGGGGTGAAGAGAGTATATCTTCCTTTTATCCTCAGACATTTATTGTAGACTTATTTTGTCACAAAAAAATGAAAACAACAAATTTACATTTTTATTGCTGTAAGAAATACCTTTAAAAAAAGACCGACCCACATCACGAGCCACAGCACAGCTCTAAGGGTATCAGGCCTCCAGCGATGCCGCTCATGATAGCACCTACTTATTTTGGCATTCTTAGAATAAAAACTCACTACAGACTCTGTTGAAATAAATTTTGTGAGCTCTAACCTTGTGGTTTTCCTGGGTAACCAAGTATAGAGGAGTTATTTTGAAAGGTCAATCATGGAGTCTTCCTTGAGGAAAGTGTTGATTTCCCCCCACCAGTATTTTAACCTGCTTGAAAGTTAAGAAAATAAAGGCTAATCCTGCTGTAACGTACTTTAACTAAAAACCACCTGTTTGGCATGTACACATTTCGTTCATTAGGACTTATGACCAAAATCATAGATGGGGAGCCAGGTGTGGGGGCACACCCCTCTAATCTCAGCAGGAGGCCTTAGCCATAGTGAGCCCTTGAGCAACTTAGCAAGACTCTGTCTCAAAATCAAAATTGAAAAGGGGATGTGGCTCCGTGGTTAAGCACCTGGGTTCAATCTTTGTTCTCTAAAAAAAAAAAAAAAAAAAAAATGGGAGAGGGAAAGGAAGGAAGGAAAGAAAAAAAGTATCATAAATGAGGTTCCTCAACTCATTTGGCATTTTGAGCTGGGTACTTTGTTGTAAGGAAATTGTCGGATGCTTTGCAGCATCTCTGGCCTCCACCCACCAAATACCAATTGCAGGGCCCCCACTTGGCCAGTTGTGAAAACCAAAATTATCTCCAGGCACTGTCAAAAGTCTCCTAGGGACAACATTATCCCCAGGTGGGAGCCACCTATGCACGGTTTAAAAAAAAAAAAAGCCAATCATATAACAATGGAAAGTAAATTAGAGGGTGCCTCGGGCTCAAGGAATCAAGGGAAATTGAAAGTGACTGCCATTGGTCAAGGGGGTTGGTTATTGTAGAAGGATGACAGTGTTTTAAAATTGCAAGAGTGTTCCTTTCAGCCCATTGCTGATCAGGCACAGAGATGCTGAGACCATTCATTAGCCTGCCAGCAGCTCGGGGTGGAGCCAGGACCTTCTGGTCCTTGAAAAGCAAAGGGAAGGAAGACCACACTGGCCCTGAAAGTAGCACCAGGTGAGGTTTTGCGTGTGTGTGTGTGTGTGTGTGTGTGTGTGTGTGTGTGTTGTTTTGTTTCAGGTGATGTTGTTAATTAGGGGACCGTGTCCAGATGTCTCAGGGGTTTTGATGACAGCACTGCCTCCCAATAGAAGCTCCTTGTTGTAAGTCCCCCAAAACAAAGCAAAGAGGAGAAGCAGTGCAGGGTGGTTTAGTGTCACAGTGTGCCCCTTACACCCTGTCACTGGATGTCCCCTATTGGAAAGGGAGGATGGCTTTGGGCTTTGAAAAAAAAAAAGGGGGGGGGGACTCAAAATGAACTCCAGCTCAGTGAGAGAGGAGCATGAAGCAGAAGAAAGACAACCAATTTGGTCAGACGATTAACTATCTGCTTCCCCTGGTCCTATTCCTTCCCTGGTCTTGATTAATTTTTCCCTGAACCTCGGATTAGAGCTTAAATGAATTTCCTACTTCCTGCCTATGATCTGATTGCATAATGATTGCACCGCCCTCTCTGTCCTATACAAACCTGTCCCTAACAGTTTTCCTTTTCACCCTCTCCCCCACCCCACATTAGATCTGATGCCTTCAGAGGGCACAGAGTGGGGGCTCCTGTCCATCTTTGTGGGAAGGGACCTAACTTTCCCGACAAGGAGGATCCCAGAATCATAGGGATTGTTTTCCTCCCTTCCTATGCCCTGGAGAAAGCCTCTTTAAAATAGGGAAGAAAGCCTGGTAAATCTACATGATAAAGGGACAGAGCCAGAGGTGGAGGGGAGACCGAGAGAGAACTGAGGGATACAAGAGGGGGGAGGGAAGTGAGAAAGAAGGGGAAGGCACCCCTCCCATCCCTGGGCTTTGAAGGATTCAATCAAAGGATTTAAACTGCACACCATTTTGCATCTGCTGTGTCTGAATGAGACTGACCGTGTCCTGGGCCAGGCAAAAACATGCACCTTTAGATTCTCCCTGGAAGTGTTCACTCAGAGGACCCTGAAATGAGTTTGAAAAAAGCAAATGGATGGACTATAATGTTGGGTGGGAACTATGAGCAGGTGGTGGGGGTATGACTAGGAGAGGTGGGTCATTGCCGGTGTGTGGCCTTGGGGATTGTACCTGAGATGCAGTGAGATGTATCAGGGATCTGCAGAATGAGACCAATGGACAATGGAGGGTCTAGCAGAGTAACAGAATTTATTTCTGAAACAGACAGGAAACAGCTACCACAAGGAAGGGGTCCCAAGAGAGTGGTCACCGAGGTGTGGCTGTCCAGGGGTTTATATGGTGTTGCTGGAGGTAACTTTTAAATCTACTGGCTAAGGACTTTTAGGGAGGGGAATTGCTACACCCAGAGTGAGATACCTGGTGAGCATGCACCCACCTCTGATATTGATGGTGCGCTGTTCAAGTGCTCCATGGCTGGCTGGCTGGCTGGCTCAGAGACTTTGCACACACGATTGCTGATATGGAAATCTGCTATGGAGATCTCTGCCCTGTCTGCCTATCATATTTTTGGCTCCTCCTCTCAGTACCTTATCCCCCTGC